ACGGAAAGGCCCCCATGCGTGAAATTGTTTTCATCATTCCGCCCCCGCGAGAGAGTTCTCAGAGGGCCCACGGAGGCCCCAGGAGGGCCCATGGCGGCCCAGGGAGAGCCCACGAGATCTCAAGAGCCCCCCCGAGGACCCACTTTGAATTACACTCAGGGAGCTCCAGAGGGCCCAGGAGGCTCCAACAGGCCCCAAGAGGCCCCGAAGACCCCAAACAGGCCACAGGACCCCCAGCACGCTCTAGGAGAGCCACGGCGACACCAAGAGGCCCCAGGACGGGCGTCATTCCCTCTCCTCCTGCTCGTCGTTGTCATCCTTCTCCTCGTCCGTCCTGCTTCAAATCCTTCCTCCCCCTCTTCCTCCTCCTTCTCCTCCTCTTTCTCCTCTTCCTCCGCCTCCTCCTCTTCCTCCTCCTCCTCCTCCTACCTCATCCGTAGCCTCGATGGCTCCGATAGCGCCGTGCGCGAGATCCGCCTCCTCCCCATCCGTCCTCCTCCCTCCTCCCTCCTCCTTCCCTCCTCCCCCCTCCCTCCTCCCCTCTCTCGGGAGCGTCGCAAAGAGGCCCTCCGAGGATAATTTCACTACAACAAGGGCACCGACCCGATGAACAGACACCACGTCGGGGCTCTGGGAACGGAATCGAAGACGAAACCTCGAATAACTTAGTCTTCGATGTTCGGGGCATTTTTCTGACCACCTGCGAGCCTTGTGGAAACTTCCGAGAGCCTCAGGGGTGGACGTCTGGCGCAAGAACACGAGAGGAGGAGGAGACAACACGACGCTTGGTTTTTTACCCCCGCGAGGGGCGTTACAAGGCATTGTTAACCAGCCACCGGAGATCTTAGCTCGCCCATGGCCCACTGGGCGGGCGAATTCTGAGGTTATATAATGGGATGTTACATATGCAGATGTGCATCCACCACGAGACGGCCTGCTGGGCGCGCCGTTGCCCGCTGCTACACGCGCCTTCGACATGGGCGAGCTCGCGGCAGCTTTGAAGAACCTTGTGGTTGGTAAGGCCGCGGGCCACGGTGGGATAGCACCGGAGTTCTGGAAATCTTTATTTATGTCGAGCGCAGCGAGCAACAATACGGTGGAAGCGTGCCAAAAGTGCTGGGAGCACAGAACTGACCAGAGGCATGGCAGTTTGCAGCCGTGGCGCGTTTATTTAAGAAGAAGGAGGCAAGTTAACCGGATACTGTACTTACTGGCCAAGTTCTCACTTACTAGCGGGATGCAAATCTTCGGCCTGGATGCTCGAAAAACGAGTACAACGCGGAGGGCATAACAACGACAGCGACCAACGCAATTTCGATCCAGACGGGGACGCAACACAATCGATGCAAATAGTATTGCCCGCCGCAGGATCGACGCTGAGGAATGTTCAAAACAACCCAGATTGGTGGCTCTTGCATTTGATTGGGCTAAAGTTTTCGACGGGCACGACGCGATGATCAAAGCTTTGGCGCGGCTTTGTATTCCAGAACCAGTGCTTTCATTGCTGCAATATACAGAACCTGCAATTTCTGTTTAAAAGACACGGCAGGCGGTTCCAGTATCAGGCAGCAGCGAGCAGGAATAACCCAAGGATGCCCGCTTTTTTCCCATGCTTATCCACTGTTGTTCAAACAGTGCTGTCTTTCGACGTCGACAAGCTGTGCAACGAGCTGGACATGTGCTTTGTGGAGCAAGGGTACGTTGCATATTATGATGTGTTGTACGCGGACGACACCATGTTCGTGATCGCAAACTCCGTGAAAGTTCAGCTTCCTTCAGACCTTACCATCAAGGTCGGCAATCAAGACGGCCTCGAATTAAATTGGAAGACGTTCGGTGCTGAAAATCAACAGCGACGGTATGATACGGGACCCTGCGCTGCAGCCAGTCGAACACGTAACTCTAGCAGTATATTTGGGTGGGCTCTTGCACAGCAGTGCCGAAAGCAGGCCAAAGTTACGAGACGGCCGGGCGAAGCACGAGGGATTTTCATAGCGCTGACCAAATGCTGGAACCATACGGGTATTTCAGAAACACGAGCAGTGCAGTTATTCGATGCTATAGTTGTGCCGATTGTTTGTGCAATCTGGAATCTTTATGGTTACTACAGGCAGACCAGCAAATGTTAGTCAGTTTCCAAGCGTTATGTCTTCGAACATATCTGGGGATCCAACATTCTTATTACTATTCTAGGGTGTCGAACGCCACAATTCTGATTGCAGCGCGGGCGGATCGTCTGAGCGAGGCCTTGCGCAATAGGCACACGCAGCCCTATGAGAACATTTGCGCGCTGTCATATAACAACTATATGAGATCTTTGGTGTGCGAGGCTGGCACACATGCACCAAAGCAGTGGCATTTGGTCCGGAGACGCGTCCTCCCCAAACTCAAATGGGCCCACTGCGTGTATACATTATTTCGGTAGGGCTTAGAGGCGGCAGTCCTTTTCCCCCTTAGTCGTCGTCGTCGTCCTCTTCCTCCTCCTCCTCTTCCTTCATTTTTGCTTTAAGAATTCGTGTGACATGCTTGTTTTCCTGCTTCACAATCGTGGGGCGGTTCGCTGTTCTGCGTTATAGTCGGGCGGTCCGTCTGTTCGATTCGCAGTCATCGCGCGCTTTCTGCTGTTGCTTCACAGTCGCATCTACACGTCGTCTCTCTGGCAGCATTTGCCGCGAACGGGTGCCGATTGCGCACTCTTTTGTCCACGCGTCCTGCCAGGAAATCAGATCAGTGACGGCAGTGGTGCCCGAGCGCCGTGCCTAGGGCTGTCGCACACATGCATAGTCATACGCATACGCATGTGAATTCGTAAGTGTATAGGTATGTGTAAAGTTGTATATATATGTGCATATGCATGTGGATGTGCATATGCATGTGTACGTATATTCATGTGCACATGCGTATACATATGTATATGTATATGTCTAGGTATGTGTATATGCATATACATATGTACATATATGTGTATATATATGTGCAAAAATACATATGTTTGTGTGTACGTATTGATGTGTGTACGTATGGACGGATGGGTGGATGGATCTTTACAGCTGTATGTATGTATATATGTGTATATATATATGTGCGTGTGTATGCAAGTGTATGTATGTATGTATGTACGCATGCATGTGTGTATGATTGTATATGTTTGTGTATGTATAAGCGTATGTCTGTATATTATGTATGTTTGTATTGATGTATGTATGTTTGCATGTGTCTAGTATGCATGCATGTATGTATGGTTGTATGTTTATGTATGGATATCGTGCAATTCAAAGTGGTGCCATGTATTGTGATGCAATGTATTGAATGGTAACGCTACACAGCGGAATGCAATGTACTGTCTTGTGATGTTTTTTTGTAATGTACTGTTATGTGATGTCAGGTAGTGAGTTGTAGCGTAATGCATGTAATACCATGCAATGAAACGCATTGCAGTGTAATGGAAATGTAGTGCAATGTATTCTATTGTAACGTAGTGCAACGCAATGCAATGCAACCGCAATGCAATGCAGTGCAATGTAAGCATGCATGCATGTCAGTGTGTGTACATATTCCCTTTTCTATATTTTTACAATCCGGGGGGGTGGGACCCCCCCCCCCCCGAAAATCGGACCCCCGGGGATTTGGCGCTTTTCGGGCCCCCTGGACGCCTTGCAAGGGGCCCCCCAGGCCTTCCGGGCCTCCTGGACGCCCCTGCGGGGCCTTGCCAGCGGGCCCAAAGCGGTCAGGAGGGCGGCCAAACTGCCCCGCGAGAGCCCCACGCGGCCCCAAACAGCCCCAAGACGCCCGAAGACGACCCAAAGAAAACCCCCAAGAGGTCCTCCAAGTGCCAAAAAACAACACTTTCCTTTCCTTTCCTTTTTTTTTGCCTTCAAAAAAGAAGGAATTTTTGGACATTCGGTTCTTCGGTATTCCGTGCGTCCGAGTCCGCCGAAGAGGCCCCAAAAATCCTCCCACAACGGTGTCAAAGGGCTTCCAGACAGTCCAAAAGAGCCCCAATATGGTCCAACAGGGCCGCAAGATGGCCCCAAGAGAGCCCCGCTGACAGCCCCAGATGGCCCCAAGACGCCTCCCGAAGCACTCCAAATCGTGACCCGGTCGTTCAGGGAGACCGTGGTTGGTAGCAAGGTGGCCGCAAGAAGCCCCCAGAGGCCCCCAAAAGGCGCCCAGGAGGCCCCCAGAGGTCCCCAAAAAGCTTTCGAGAGGGGCCCAGGAACACCTCCTAAGAGGAGCCCCTGCAATAAAAACTGGGGATGAGGACAAGGAGTGGCTCGCAGACAAGGAAGATTACGAGTAAGAGGAAAGGTAGTATAAGGATAGTACATAACATTATTATAACTACGATGGCGCAAATGGCAACAATGAATCATCGCTATATTTGGCTCTCCTGCATGCCGAGCTTCAAGAACCAAGGTGCATGGCGCGAAGCGCCAATGCAGTCTTGTATATATATATATATATATATATACAGATATACGAGTCTCCCTGGCCAAGCTGGGAGGTGGTTTGCACCGATCCTGGGCCCAGGGTGGGCCTGGCCTGCGCCAATCTATGTATAGTTTGCGTCTTCCTGTCGAAGACCATCAAGCAGCATGAGCACAAACTGTCGGAGGTCCGCACGGCACTGGACACCCCCCCTTTCTCCCACACCCCACAGGCAGCGCCTCTGGTGCTGCCTCCGGCGCGCTCTGCGCTCCGAGGAGGGCGTGGTGGGGAGGAGGGTCGGTCCAGCGCCAACCAAAGAAGGCCGCACGGACTTCCGATACTTGATGCTGGCGCAGCTTCTTGATCGGTGGCAAATCATGGGAACCCTGTGTACCCTCGCCGTTTCGTGTTTAAACTGCACTAGCGCCGACTAGCGTCTGGTAATCGATGAGAAAGCGTCGAGTTATCGTCGAGCAGCGCAGACTAGCATCTATTAGCGTCGATTCGCAACAACCATCAAGATGGCGTGGGAGGCTCCTATGAATTGCAACCCAATTCTTGGCCTCTCAAAGGCCATGCCCCTGGGCGCTCCTGGCAGGCGCTCCCGGAGGAGAAAGAACAAGAAGGGCTCCGCCGACGGCAGCCGGGAGCTGCTGCAGCAGCCCGTCCCTGAGGAGGACGAGGAGGAGGCTGACGGGCCGCGGCCAGAGAGGCGGCAGCCCGCGCGGGCAGCCTCGCCCGTGGCGCCGCTGCGGCGGGAGAAAGATGACGGTGGCCGCGGGCGACGAGCAGACGTGGTAGAAGGCTTAGGGTTGCGCACCGACAGCCCCCCAGGTGGCTCCGGCTGTCCTCAACAGGGCCCCCTGAGGAGCCCCAGCTGGCCTCAACAGGCCCCCTTGAGTAGTCCAGGCGGGCTCGACACCCTAGCGCTGCCTCCAGCGGCGCTCCTGGGGCGCTCCGCGCCGCAGGGTTGAGGTGTTGAGACAGCCCCAGAGTACTCGCGGGGCCTGTTGAGGACAAGGACAGCTGGGGCAATTCGGGAGGCCCTGTTGAGGCCGGACGGGACTGCCTGGAGGGCTCTCTACGCGCAGCTCGAAGCATTACCAAGCAGACGTCCAAGACGCCGAAAGAACCACTTTGGGCTCATGAGGGGCTCTGGTGTTCAGGCCGTTCTTGGTAATTATCCAGGTCGGGGACCAAGCGCATTCGTCGCCGAGGCTCGCCGTGGCCAGACAAGCCCCTTCGTTCCTTATTCGGCGTTCCTTATGGTAGCACGACGGGTGTAGGTCGTCGCCGGTTCTGGCCCACCACGCTGCGGCGCGACACGCTAACCACGTCCTGGTCCCCAAGCGTGGACGTCCCGAGCTTTCCAAAGCCTCCCGTCCCGCGAAGCGGGGCAACACGCTATCAGCTCGCAGAGCATAGCGCGTCGCTGTGGTCGCCGCCGCGGCACGCTAAGCAAAAGTTCCCGACCGTACCCCAAAGAAGAGCCAACGGCCTAAGCATAAGCTTTCGGGGGTCCGCGCGAACATCGGGAATCCCATGCTCATGCCGTGCGTAGCATTGACCACGCCCTCGCGATCTGGGAACCGAAGCGCGATCCCACGGATGCGCGATCCTATGGATGCGCCCCGCACAGGGCATCCGCGCAAACCGGCCCTGTACCCACGGGGTCGCGGCCGAGGAGTCGGGACCGCGAGGCTGTGGACAGGAGTGCTGTCAAAGAGGATGGTAAGGATGAGCAGCTTCCCGAGGGCAACCCTGCATCCTTGCCCCTTCGGCCCATCCTCACCATTAGCCATGGGCCGTGGGCTCCCAACTTCGGCATCGATCTGGGCGTCCGAGGGCCTTGCGTCCTCACCGCCCGTCCTTGCGATCCGGTCGCGCTGCATGCCCCTCCTTTCTCTCTCCCCTCTTCTTTTCGTCCTCTCCTTCCTGCCCTTCCCGCCCGCGAGGCGGCACCCCTGCGTCAACCTCGTCGAGGACGCCCCGACGAGGGCTCGTGCTGAGCAGCGTGCGGCGAGCCGAGGCGGATCCCGACGAGCTCCCCGCCGGAGGCGGGCCCGCACGACGCCGGGAGGAGCGCCTGGAGGACCTGCCGGACCCTTGCCTGCGCACGCCCTCGCTGTCGCCGTCGCCCGACGACCGCCTCGTAATGCAAGGGTCGCGCCAGCTGTCGCACCAGTCGCCGGGCATGGGCCCGGCGACGCCGATCCCGGGCCTCGCGGCGGGCCTCTCGCCGGCCGCGGGGCCGCTGCCGCCGCCGCTCGGGACCTCCCCGCTGATGGCGCCCAGGGCGCCGCCGAGCGGTATGGACTTGCCGCCGCGGGCCCCGGACGCGCTGGCGCGCCAGAGGGTGCCGGGGAAGGTGGAGGTCGGGGCGCTGTGGAGCTCGATCGACCTCGTGCGCGCCCTGTGCTTCCGGCGCACCCGGAGGTTCATCCTCGACATCGAGGGGGAGATGTTGCGGCTGCTGTCCGCGCCGCCGGGGGCCTACATGCGGTTCCCAGCCCTGGGCGGGCACTACCGGTCCCTGCTCACCGCGCAGTGCGCTCGCTTCCAGATGCACGAGACCCACGTGCCGTGCGGGGACCGGGTGGAGGTGTGCGTCAGCACCACCGCCTCCAGCAGGGCCCCGCTGCCCGCCGCGGCGCTCGTGCTCGGGACCTGGGCGGGCACCGTCCCCTGGGAGTGGACGCACGGCGAGCCCATCGGGAAGCCGCTCTCGCCCATGGAGCCGCTCACCCTGAGGATACCGTGCAGCACAGGGTTCACGCCCTACACCCAGACCATCGTCGGCATGGACGAGGACGGTGACGCCGTGGCGCGGTCTGCCGTCCAAGCTGCTGGTCCCTCCAACGGACCTGGCGGTGGTATAGTCATCTCCGAGCTGCCACTGCCCAACGGCCAGTGGGAGCTGATGGAGCCGAAGGCGTGCTCCGACAGAACCGACTTGGGCGGTTTTGTTCTCACCTTCTCCGTGGAGCGCGCGGCGTCTCCGGGGGTGGCCGTGGCGGTGTGCGCCAACTACGACGCCTCCCAGCGACCCTTGTCGCGACTGTTGAGCTGCTCCACGCCGCTCCTGGAGGAAAGGCACGAGGTGAAGGGGGAGAGAGACTTCTGCATCGTTGAGCTGGAGCCCAAGCCGTCCATGGGCCGGTGGAGCGTCCGATTCGGCCACGCCGAGCAGGCGAACGCTGGGCAGATGCAGAGGTGTGAGACGTCGTTCTCGGAGCACAGCCAGACCACAGAGACCTTCTGGGTCGCGACCTGGATGTGCGACGACGGCCTGCGGGTCGAGGTGGGGCGCGAGCGCTTCCCGTGGTGCCGCCTCCTGCGTGCGACCCTGAAGCACCCGTCGTGCCAGTCCTACTGCCAGGCCGCCCTCGCCACGCTCGGCTCCGCCGAGCCGGGCGCCGGAGGCAGCTTCCACGGCCACCAGAGCCTGCGCAACGTCACCATGGAATCCAGCGTGTGCCCCGACCAGGCCACGAGAGATCACATCGTCCGAGTGGTCTGGCCCCCGAACGGCCAGCCAGAGCCGAGCGAGCGGCCCACCGCCGACGGCGTCGTCGCGATGCTGGACAGCGGCATCGCGGTGTGCAGCAGCTCGCTGGCGGCGCGCAAGCTGGCGGAGGACGCCGCTGCTCAGGGCTGGCAGGTTGCGTGCCTCGCCACCGCTCCGCTCGACAACGTCGGGGAGGACCCGGCCAGGGGCGTCGGCACGGGGGTCGACGAGGTGCTCTCCCAGCGGGCGGAGGCCGTGGCGACCCTCGAGCCGACCGTGGCGCTCGACCTGGGCCTCACGGACTGGGCCCGCGCGAGCACCGCCTGCAGCGGGCTCGCCCAGGTGGGGACGTTCCAGACAGGGCCCTTGTCGTCGAGGGATCGGGAGGCTGACGTCTCTTTCTCGGCGGAGGGCGGCGGAGGCTGGCGGAAGCGAAGCGAGGGCGGCTCTGCCAGCGGAAGCGAAGGTGGAAGTGGGAACCGCCCCCAAAGGGATGTGCTCAGGGCTCCTGGAACCCGCCAGGTTGACGGCCCCGCGATGGTGCCTGGGATGGGAATGAACGGGTGGGCGCACATGAACGGCATGCCCAACGGCAACATGAACGGCATGCCCCACGGCATGCTCGTCGGCGTGCCGCATGGCATGAGCGGCGTGCCAGGCAGACCCTCGGTGGGCGCTGCTGAGGCGTCGGGGTGCTTCTCGCCGATGGCGGCCTCCCCTCCCAGGGCCGTGGCGGAGGGCGGGCTTTCCGCCGAGGCCCCAGTCTTCGTTCCCGGCTCGCCAGCTGCCGCGATGGACGCTCCAGTCGCGAGCGGGTGTGGCGGCCCAGGCGGCTTCAGCGCCTGGCGCGAGGACGACCACGGCGCCTGGCAGGGCGGCTGCGGGGGGCCTGGGATGTCCCACGAGGCCTCGGTCTTCATGCCCATGGGGCAGCAGGGGCACGACGAGAGCTGGGGCTACGAATGGTCCCCCGAGTGGGGAGACCCTAGCGCCTACGCCGACTGGGCGCCCGGCGCAGAGGACGACGTCGACTGGGAGCAGGAGGAGTATTGGGCAGGCCTTGCCGAGGGCGGGAAGACACGGCCCAGCCGTGCTTCCCGGAAGGAGCGCGACGCCAAGGGCGGCAAGGGCGGCAAAAGTGCTGACGGCAAGGGCGCCAAAGGCGGCAAGGGCGCGAAGGGCGCAAAGGGTGAGCACAAGGGCGGCCCAAAGGGCGACAAGGGTAAGGGGGGCTTCAGGGAGCGCTACGATGCCGAGAGCAGCGCGAAAGGTGGCTGGAGGGGCCATGGTGCCGACTGGGAGGAGCCAGACGAGAGGAGATGGGCCGCAGACCCGCTCAACTGGGGCGGCGGGGACGACAGGGGCAAGGGCAAGGCCGACGGGCGGGACGAGCCCCGCGGCCGTTGGAGGGACAACGGCAGACGCGGCGGGGATCCTCCGGCCAAGAAGTGGCTGGACGATGAGCGGGGTAAGGAGTCGCAGAGGGCACCTGTACCCCACCGTGGCTGTTCATGGCCGTCCTGGGCCCTGGGCATGGTGCACGAGCCCTCCCGGCCGAGGCAGCGAGGCCCTATACTCTACACCCCCGTATACGCATGCACACTCCTGGCGCCCAGGATGGCCTGGGCCAGGCACGGCGGTGGCGTACAGACGCCCTCTGGCGGACAGGACGACGACTGGCGCAAGGAGTGGGAGTGGAACGAGGATCGGGGAAAGACAAGCGAGCGACGGAAGAAAGCGGGGTGGACTGCGCCGACATTCGGCGCGAAAGCTTACCGCGCGAGGTCGCGCGTAGGCGCCCTCTTTTCCGCGCGCTGTGCCGTGCTGGCGGCCCGCATCAGCCGCGGCGCCAGGACGCTCTGCCGCCTCGCGTAAGACCCGTTTCTTTCGCTCAGCTGACCTCCTGATGGACCTCGCCAGGGTCAGGGTCGGGGTCGGGTGGCCCTGGGCCCATCCTGTGGCCAGGGTCGGTGTGTGCGCCCTCCCGGCCGTGGCCGGGGAGACACGCGCGCCGGTCTTCGGCCAGGGATCGGCCAGGCCTGGTTCGGCGAGGTGGGCAGGTGGTTCCAAGGAGGCAGCAACAACACCAACATTCCCCATTCCGGCCCCGCCCACGGGCCCCAGGACCATTAGACATGAATCCGCGACGCAGCACTACTCCTTGGGAAGGGGTCGGGGGTCCCGAGGCATCCGCACAGGACAAGAAAGAGTGGCTCAGACTTGTAAAGTCTCGGAGGTCCGCGCGGAGTTCCTGGGCCGGGCCCCCCCTGCGCGCTCCGCGCGCGCCACGCGCGTCGCCAGGGGGTCCGGCGCCGCTCCAGGAAGTCCCCGCGGACTTCCGAGAGCTTATGTCTGTGTGCCGCTCTTTCTTCTCCTGTGGGTTCTAGGCCTCCCAAATTGGGTCCGAGTAGACAGGGTCGGAGGATCGCGCCGCATCGCCGATGCATCGCCGGATGCGGCTCGATGTGAAGCCTGATTTTCTCCACGCCGACCTCGCCGATGCATCGCCGACGTCGCCGATGCATCGGCGACGCATCGGCGACGCGGCGCCATCCTCTCCGACCCCGTCCACTCCTCCCTCCCGCTGACCAGCTTCTCATCGTGCGGCGTCTTTGTGTGGATCGTCCGGGGGGCCCTGCGAGGGCCGAGAGCTGCCGAATATACCTTCCGCTTCGGCGTTTTTTTTTTCTCGAAGGCGCGGGGGACGTCGGGGCCACGCCCCGAGAGGACGACTGGGACTGGCGGGGCAGCCGCCGGGACCGCTGGAGGAGCGCGCGGCCTCGCGGCCTCGCGGCGGCGCCGACGGCCACGGCCACGGCGGCGACGGCGACCGCGGCGATCACGACGGCGAGCAGGACGGCGACCACGGCCCCCACGGCGACCACGACCACCCAGGTCGCCCGCGGCGGCTGCGCTTCGCGCGTCGCGGCCTGGGCTGGAGAGGCGCCTTGGCTTCGGAGTGGAGGGCGCGAGGGCGCGAGGCGCGATGCGCGAAGTTGGGTGACCCAGCCGGCGGCGGCGGCGGCGGCGGCGGCGGCGGTGGCGGCGACAACGACGACGACGACGACGAACAGGTGGACAGTCGAGACAACCCAACGGCGGCGCTTCCGGGGTTCATCTGGACTGTTTTTCATTGTTTGTCGAGTCGGATCCAGCCGTGGCGGTGAAAAGGCTTCAGTAGTTTCCATATTTGAGCACTCATCGCGGCCATGCTTGGTTAATAAACCCTGTGGTGTGCTGTGGCCTGATCACAGCGAAAATCACCAACGATGGTAGCAAATCCTCTGGCCCGCAAGCGTCAAACAGAAGCGTGCATGCGCCCGAGAAAAGAATCCCAAAAGAACAAACAAGGCCAGGGACTGCCGCCGTCCCGATTCGTCTCCGATCACCCCACTTCGACGCCTGGTGGTTCTCGGGGCATGACTCGGGCCTCCGCCGGCCGTTCGGGACGATTCGTGCTCCCGACGAGGCGCAGCTGTTGGAAAGCATCCCGAGGCGAGAAGCCTCCAAAGAACTGACGAGGCCTTCCTCCGAGAGCCGACGAGGACTTCCTCTGGCAGACAGCGCGGCGGCGACTACGATGACGACGCGCCCTACTATCATCTGATCTCTGGCAGCCTGATCTTTTCAACCCGCGGCCCGAGATGCCCTGTCCGCTTCCCCAGGGGTGGTTGATGGCCCTGGGCCGGTGACTGATGGCCCTTGGGCCCGACGACTGGCCCGATAGAATTCGAAGAACAAAAGCGGCACAATCATGAACTTTCGGAGCTCCGCGCGGATTTCTTGGAGCGGCGCTGGGCCTCCCCGGCGGCGCCTCCTCCTGCGCCGCCCTTGCGCAAGGGAAGGGGGCCCAGCGCCGATCCAAGAAATCCGCGAGGAGCTCCGAGAGTTTATGTTGCTCCGTGTGCTTTCGGCCACGCCCAAGAAGCAGCCTCCTGCCCAGAAGCCTTCCCCTCTCCACCTACGGTCGGCCCTGGGTATAAGATCGAGGTCTGCTCGGGGAGGGTACCCTCGTGTTCTTCGTGTTTGTTGGATGTACTTGTGCATTATGGGGGAGGGTACCGTCGAGAGATCTTATGGTTCGGAGTGTTTTGGCCGTCGGAGGGCTTCATGCTCTTGAAGGATGTTCTTCTGTCCTGGGTCCGACCGTACCCCCTGGGGCCGTGCCGCCAATGTTTTGATTACAGTAGGAACGCCGCCGCGGCCGGCGGCGGTGACCAGCAGCCGCGGCCAGCGGACCACAGGCCCTCGAAGCGCCTGGGCCGCTACGGCGAGCGGCTGCCCGCGCCCGAGGACGAGCCTGTGGCGGGCCACCGCCCGCCCATGCGCAGGAGCTTCGGCTGCGCGCAGCGGCGGCCCCCTGTAGAGAGCAGAGAATCCCCCCCAGAGTAAACACCCCGACAAGCGAAGCAATTTTGCAAACGCACCCAAAGAAGGAATCGAGCAGGGCAGGGCTGTTTAGTAAACGCCCGAGGCCATTAAACGCCAATTATCGGGGTTGGGGTGGTATTTCCTCCCTTGCGTTGGCCTGCAGTGGTCTCATCACGAGTTACGGTCGGAGCTGATAGGAAGGATGAGCTACTTTCCAAGAGTACCTTTGCATCCTTTCCTTTCGGCCCGTCCTTGGCCACGTTCTCCGGCCAGCCCCTGAGGGTACCCTTGGGGCGAGCTGCATCCTTCGGTTGCGCGGTGCGCATTGACCTCCCATTAGTTACGGTCGGCAATGCTTCGAGGTTCGGGGCTCAAGTTTTTTGATCAGTTTCCTTGGTTCTCGGCCGTTGTTGAAGCCTCGGGATACGTTCCAGCAGCTGCCCCTCGCCGAGAGCGTTCCAAGGGTTCCCAGATCGTCCCGAACGACCGCTGGAGGCTCCAGTTACGGCCCGAAAACCACCGAGACATACAGTGACCTCCCCATGAGTTACGGTCGAGGCGCTGACATATTTCACGTTTCGCGAATCCGCACCAGCCCGTTCAGAAGCCCTGCCAATGAGAGCTGACGAGAAAAAAGACGACGAGACACATATAGTGAAACAAAGCTCGGCTGATCCAAGGAGAACGGTAGCAGGGATAAGGAGGAGGAGGAGGAGAAGCAGGAGGAGGAGGAGGAGGAGGAGGAGGAGGAGGAGGAGGAGGCTGAAACAAGGACCACGTTGGGCTCAGGAGGGGCTCTGGTTTTCAGGCCGTGTTCGTGGCCGAGGCTCTCTGCGGCCAGGAAAAGCCCTTTGGCTCCTTCTTTGCCCTCCCCCGTGCCAGCACGATGGCTGCACGGTCGGGGAGTTCTGGATAGAGCGTGCCGCTCCGCCGATTAACGGCCCTCCACGCTTCGGAGCGACCCGCCATCAGCGTATGCGTTCCCCAGCGCCATTGGCGGTTCGAGTGCTTCTGAGGCTCCCGCCCCGCACAGCGGAGCGACGCGCCATCCGCTTGCAAGGCATAGCGTGTCTGATGGGCCTGTTTTCCACCACCACCACCACCATAAGTTGGAGGGGGGAAGGGGGTGAAGGACGAGGAGGAGGAGGAGGAGGACGAAGAGGAGGAGGAGCAGGAGGATAACCCCCTCCCCCTCCTACTTATGGTGGTGGTGGTGGTGGAAAACAGGCCCACCAGTGTCGCCAGGGCCCCCGCCGTGACAGACTGCGCGGGCGTTGCACCAACTCCATAAAGGGCGCTTCCGCTCCGTTGCGGCCCCGGGGACCTTCACGGGTCGATTCGCCCCGAAGGCCTGCGGCAGAAGGATATGGGGCTTGGGGCTCCGGTCGTGGTTTTTCGCGAGGTGGCCATGTTCTCGCAGCCTCGGATCTCAGGGTCCGCTGTGCCCCTGCGTTCGGGTTTTCGTAGGTTTTCGCTTCGCCGGCGCGCAGAGGCGGCCCTGTAGCCGCAATGAGCTCCCCGGGTCTCCGACGATCTGTTCTCCTCACCCAGCAGGTTTGGGCTGCCAGGTTTTCAGAAGAGGGGCTCCCGTCTGCCCACCCCGCGTGCCGCGGTCGCCAGACCGAACAGGTGCCACAGGATCCCGAGTGTCCTTGAGTATCCCGCTTCGCGTCCTCGACGAACGACGACACAATGCCGCGGTTGCCAGACTGGATCCCGAGTGCCCCTGAGTATCACGCTTCGCGTCCTCGGCAAATAACGACACCACCATGCCATTGTAGCCAGACCCCAGAGGATCCCGAGTGTCCCTTAGTGTCCCGTCTCGCGTCCTCGACGAATGACGACAACATGCCGCGGTCGCCAGACCCCACAGGATCTCGAGAGTCCCCGAGTGTCCCGCTTCGCGTCCTCGACGAATGACGGCATCCTGCATACCAGACAGCCCCGAAAAGGAGGCGTCACGGCGTCACGCCGTCCAGGCGTCACGACTCATGATCAAAGATGCATGAATAATCGGCATCACGAGCGCACAGTAACAACGTACATCTGCATCATAACAAACCTATTGTAACATGGTATAGCACAACAGGATATACCACAACGGCACATACTATGCAGACGAGGTCATAGCAAGGCACGTCATACCATATCATAACGCATCATGGCATAGCATGGCAAATCATATCATTCCACACATCACATAGCAGATCATAGCGTATCATACTACATCACAGTATGGCATAATGGACCAGAACGAAGTACACCATAAAAGAGCGTAATACAGCGTACCACTGTTGTTCTGTTAGTGTTGCTACTATGGAGACGCATGTAATACAACGTAGCTGGCCGCTGCATAGCTGAATGAGAATATCTGGAGAAGGACTGGTCTGGGGTTCCCCGCCCTGAGATCAGTCTGGGGGGGGGGGGGGCATTTCCCCCCCTCCACTCTTCCATTTCCCTTTATCCTCCCTCGCCTTCTTCCCTCCCTCCCTCCCTCCTTCCATGTTCCTTTTCATTTCCTTTTTCCTCCTCCCCTCTTCCCTTCCTCATCGGATAACGATGCCGCGTGATTCGTAGAGCCCGTATGGCTTGTAGGGCTCGTAGTGATTTTGCGGTTCGTAGGGTTAATAAGATTTCTAAGGCTCATAAGGCCCACAAAGGGACGCGAGAGGCTTGTACGGATCTGGGGTTCGCAGGGCCCGTAGGGCTAGCAGGGCTCGTAGAATCTGCGTGGCTCGTAGAGGGCAGTGGTAATCGTAGAGCTCATAAGGTCAATCAAATGTATTGCTCATGGGGTTCGTAGGGCTAGTAAGGCTCGTAGGGATTGCGTGGCTCGTGGGTGGGTCGTAGGATTTGTGGAGTTCATAAGGCCCATAAGCGCTCGTGAGGGGCTCATATGGCTCGTAGGGCTCGTAGGGATTGTGGATCATAGGGGAAGTATGACTCGTAGGGCTCATGATGCTGATCCCCCCTCCGGCGCCCTTCAATACCCCTTGCCCCCTCCCCCCCCCCATTCGATCCCCTTCGGTTCTCCTCGTTACCCGTTGATTCCTCTCGTTCCCCCCCGTCGCTTTGTCTCCCATCGCCGTCTCTGCGCAGCTTCCATCGCCGTTCGTTGCTCCAGTGTTTTGAGGCCTCAGCGCCAGTACTGCAGGATTATACATCCATATTGTCAGGATGAGCTTCATTCCTCCGAAGGCCACGTTGTTGTGGCTGCAACGCACCCGCAATGCCGCCGCCAGCGTCAGCCCCAGCTCGGGCCCAGTTCCACCCGCGACGCCGCCACCGGCGCACATGGTGAAGACTAAATTATTCCAGAAGCCGTGGGTGAAGAAACACGCGCGCACACGAGGCTCGGTCGCGCCCGTTCGCCGAAATGTGGGCATTCTCTAAATGCGTAGCCACACTTCTTCGGTATGGACCTCAACTCGGGCTGTTTCATGGACAGTTCAGGATTGTCGCCTGCCGCCGACGCGATTGCGCACAATTGGCTTTGCCGACTCGACCTGTATAATCCCGGAGTCGAGGACCTCATTAAGCTTGCCAGTATCTCGTACACAGAGACGGGGACGAGGCGCTTCGAAACCCAGGAATCGGTGGACGGTGTTTTGATTCGGGCAGCGCGCTATGGGGTAGTCTGAGGCGCCGCGGTGGAGTCCGGTAATGTATCGCGTTAGTTTTGTGTATATGTATATGTGTATATATGTATGTCTGTCTGTCTGTCTGTCTGTATGTATGTATGTCTGTATGTATGTATGTTTATATACATATGTACATATCTACACATGCATGTATGTATGCATGCATGCATGTATGTATGTATGTTTGATTGTATGTCGTTGTATATAAATTTATATGTAAATGTATGTATATATACACATACATATACATACACAAAATGCACTGCGTCACCTCAGCCCGTGAGCCCGCGAGCCCGCCAGTCGCGCTCTGTCCCAGCCCGCGCGCAGCATGCTTTCTGCGAGCGCTTCTGCCTCAGCACGCGGCATCGATGCAGCATTGCGGTCGCCGCGGCGGAGTTCGGTGGTGCCCCGCAGCATTGTTTGAGTATCAACTGCGCGTGTGCGCTTCTGTCTCGGCCCGCCTCTGCTTCGGCTCAACCTGCGAGCCCGTGAGCACGTCGTTCATGCGCAGTCCCCCCTACAGAGCAGCGCGCTGTCTGCGAGCGCTTCTGCATCAGCGGAAGCAGCGCAGCGCCGCCCCCCGCGCCCCCCCCCGCGCACCCCTCGTCTAGCGTGCGCGGGCAATATAGGATGGACACTTCATGCCTGCAGATCTCGCGCCCCATTCATGCGCGGAGTTCCTGAACTTTGTGTTGCCCGCCCCGGCCTTGCATTGGCCATGCGCCGCGTGCTCAGCCCCCCCCGTGGTTCGTCGTTTCCTCCTGCTCGCGGTCACTCTTGCCCGAGCGAACGGACGAGGGGGCGGGGGGAGGGGCGATGAATCGGATGGGGAGGCGGAGGAGGCGGATGAGGATGGGGATGAGGAGGCGCGTTGTCCGGGTTTTCACTGGTCACTCTTGCCAGAGCGAACGGATGAGGGGGCGGGGGGAGGGACTATGAATCGGACGAGAAGGAGGAGGAGGAGGACGAGGAGGAGGAGGAGGAGGAGGAGGAGGACAGGAGGAGGAGGAGGAAGAGGGCGAAGAGGAGGAAGAGGACGAAGAGGTGGAGGAGGAGGAGGACGCGCACAAAACAACATGTGAAGTCAAGGGGCTCGTTGTCCGAATTTTCCGCGGTCGTTCTTGCCAGAGCGAACGGATGAGAGAGCGGGGACAAGGATGATGAGTCAGATGAGGGGGAGGAGGAAAGGGAGAAGGAGGAGGAGGATGGGGATGAGGACGAGGAGGCGCGCTGCCCAGGCATTCCGCGGCCACCCTTTCCAGAGCGAGCGGGCGAGGGAGCGTGGAGAAGGATGATGAATCGGACGAGGATGAGGAGAG